ATATATATATATATAGCCCGGGCCCATCTCAATAGTATTCTAATAGGCTGGGCTTTCTCATGGTCTATTTTCGAGATATCCTTACCAAGGCTCAGGCTGGGGCGGGCTTGTTGGCAGCCCTATCGTTAAGTCTTTTAAAAGGATATTAAAATATATTCATATAACATATAGAGTACAAAGACTTTCATGAATCTAATCCCACACAATAACATCCATCTAAGATGAGGGTTCTTGTCTTCATTGCACTTATGCATCCATCCATGGCAGTACTCTCTCTCTCTCTCAAACCCATTCTTTCTCTTTAAAAACTCAATATCGTTCTCTCTCTAAAAACCCAATCTATCAATTTAGAAACCCAATATCTCTCTTTAGAAACCCAATCTCTCTTTTTCTCTCTAAAAACTGGATCTCTCTATCTATAGAAATCCAATATCTCATTTTCTCTAAAAGCTGAATTTCACTCTAGAACCCAAAATCTCTTTTTCTATCTAAAAATCCTCTCTTTAGAAAGCCAATTTCTCTTTCTCCTTAAAAACTCATTTTCTATCGATGGAAATCCAATCCATTCTCTCTAAAAATCCAATCCATCTCTCTTTCTCTCTTTCGAAACCATATCTCTCTTTCTCTATCTAGAAACTCTATTTCTATTTCTCGATGTAAAAATATTATATCCTTGAGGTGAATAAGGAGAGAGCCAATAGTAACTTGGCCCCGCAGGTGCCTAAGACAACGGCAGACCACGGGAATACTATAGTAATAAGCTTAAACTGGGTGATCTCTTAAGAAGTGTCAGAATGGCCTCAAATTTCATGAGAGGGTAGTTTTGGATATGCTAAGGAACACAAAGTTTCGTTGCATTCTGACAAGTTTTGATATGATCTGAACGAAACTTGGTTCTCAAATCCAGTTCCTATCATGCTGAAAATGCACCCTATAACTACATCCGTATTTTTTGGGTCTAAAAAAAGTACCAAACCACCGCCATTAGATTTGGAACGTCGCAAAACCCTTAGGTGCCAAATTTCAGCTCAGTCAAACCCTTTGGGACCATTCTGAACCTAACTTACCATAAAATGGTGGCTATTGCGGTGCAACCTCGGTGAACTAGTTTCCATTTATGGAAATTAGGTTTTCTCATTTTAGGATAAATTTCAAATTCTCATAATTCGCTTGTTTTTAGTCCAATCAAGGTCAATTTTGGACATGAGCTAGATCTCGACGTCGCCGTTGTTTTAACACACGGCACACGTCATGGCATAGCCCGAAACGAGAGAATTTCTAGAGAGAAAATATGCTCGAAACATGAAAATTCATATTTTATAAAAGAGAACATCCAATTCTTCGAGAGACCATAGCTCAAGATTAAGTATGGGTCCGTTACGATAGTGCTTCAAAAAACTAATGATCGAAGGTCGGACAACACATATATTAAGGTCGAAAATGGCACACTTTTCTAGTTTCCAGAATCCCATTTTTGGGCAACTTCTCAAAATTGGAACGTGCTCAAGTGGAGACCAAAATGGATGACATTTATTGCAAAATAATCATGATACTGTCGTCTTCAATTTGTGATAAAAAAAGCTTGAAACGTCATAGATCGTGTCAGATTGGTGGTCGAAGAATCACAAGTTTATGAAACTTGGCTGGATTTTTGGTTCTTCCAAAGAAAATCTGTTTCAAGACGATCATGGGATATCAAAACGTGTGCAAAAGTTCAAGCATCAACTCTACGATGATACCACCATAGACATTTGAAAAAGCTCTCGAGGCCTAGCAATGGCAAGAGGCCCCTCATGGAGGGAGGGTTTTGTCATTTGTTGAAAAGTGCCTAGGGGTATTTTGATCATTTGGTCCAAAAACAAGATTAATATTTTAATTCATAAAATATGTATATTTTAATAATTTTGGGTGTTTTGAGCATTCTACCCTTGTTTAGTAGTTGATCTATATAAAGAAACTCAAGTAATTTGTCAAAGGACTTTTAGAACTTTATCATTTAAAATCTCGCTTGAGCAATTGAAGTAAATTATTGACTCCTTAGCTTCTTGCTTTCATTTTTCTTTCAAGTTCACGACCAAGATGAGAGGAGAGAGAAACATATCCTAAAGAGAGAAAATACCCCTAGAGCACCATACACCTTAGTCTATCTCCTACACCTTACTCTACACCATACACCTTAGCCTATCCCCTACACCTTAACCTGCACCATACACCTTAGTCTATCTCCTACACCTTACTCTACACCATACACCTTAGCCTATCCCCTACACCTTAACCTGCACCAAACACCCTATACCTTACCCTACACCATACACTATAATCTCCCTTGAACCTTAACCTACTTTATACACCCTAAGTTCCCATACACCACACTTCAACCGAACCTACTTAACCATAAACCTAGACCCTAGACCCTAGTCTTGACTCACCAAGCCTAAGCCTCTTACTCTACCCCCCTTGAAATTCTAGCTAAGGGAACTCCTAAAAATCTCAGTTCTGAACATAAAGGACCATACAAATCCTAGTAGACCTTAGGCAACCTAGACCCAATATAATTATCCTAAAATTTCCGCAAACTATTCTAAGTTGAAGTAGAGTCGAGAGCTTTTCAACGGTCCAAGAATCGCTTGAATCAGACCTACAGATAAAACGATATAACAAATGATAATTTAGTCCCTGTAAGACCCAAGTATCAAGCCGTAGGCTGGGCAGTAACTCAGCCCAGCAGGCCCAAACACGGGCTGATGATGCAGCCAACACATCTGATGATGCAGTAAACACATTTTTTTTAATTAGATAAGGCTAAAACCCCAAAAATAACTCCAAACAAATCCAAAAAAATCCAAACAAATCAAGAAAAATCAGTAATTGACATTTATAAATATCCCATCTCCATAACCCAAAAAGGGGAGACCAAAAAAGAGGAAGAAATCCCTTAGAAAATCTCAAATTTAGAAACATAGCAAAAAATACTCAAAATAGGGAAACCCCTTAGAAAATTGTTAAAAATTTAGGAAAATTCCCTAAAAATCTCAAAAAATCACATAAAATCCCAGAATTCATATTCAACCTTAGGAGATCCCAAAACCCTTAGAAAACTAAGGAAATTCTCCGTCAATCTCAAGAAAAGCCTAGGTAGACCCTACTTAAAATACACAGTTTTTCCCCATGCCTTAGGAACCCTTGATCTAGGTCAAAGAACCTTATATCTATAAATTCTAGCAAGCAAAAGACATCCAAAAAAGGAGATGGTGGCGCACATCGGAAGAGCGGCCTGATCCAAGCCCGAAACACCGGGTTTCGAGGCTCTAGAGGTAAGTATATCTTTGCTTAATTTAGTTTGTTTTTCTTCCTTTAATTCTCTGTTTTACTTTATTTTTCTGAAAAATTAAATTATTATTAGATTTTATTAAATTTAGAAGTATTTTTAGGTCAAAATATGGATTTGGAGCTGGTATTGCGAGTGGACTAAAAAAAAGACCAGATCTATATAGATTTGGGATTTTTCTGAGCCCATAATTCAAGCAACCCCACTCTCTCTACCTTTTCAAAAGTAACTTAGTTTTTGTTAAGATTTGAGTAGATCTCATCCTAGTGATCAACGCAGATCGGAGAGTAAATAGTTTGACACCCACTGTGGGGAACCTTGAGCTTCAGATCTGTATTTTAGATTTAAAAAAGCCTATCTTTTTTTCTCATATTTAATTTTCCAGAAAAAATAAAAATAAAAAAGAATAAAAATAAGAAGAAAAAATAAGGTAGATATAAAAAGATTTATTTTTATTAGATTATGTCTTTTCTTTCTAGATTCTTTT